AGGCCATAAATTCGATATGATATGTTGACAGAAAAATGTTGAAAATTTTGCAGGTTCATACGTAAGCCCCGTACCGCACCGGAGCACCGTAATTTTTCAGTTTTGATAGTATTATTAGATCACCGTTATATATTTAAAAAATTGTGTTTATTGTTATCTCCGCGATATGTAGAATGACATAAGACCATCAATTCGAGATAACATATTTATACAGTGAATGTATGAAAATTTGAATGTGCAAATGTAAACCTAACCTAAGCCTAACTTAAACCTCTTATCTTGTAACAGATATCCACAATATTTTAGCCTAGATAAATAATGCTAAATAATATTTCTATAAGAAAATTGTGCTCATAAAAAAATCCGTTCTGCGTAGAATAATATAAGGCTATGAAATCTATATGATATATTGACAGAACGAACGTGGAAAACTTTGTACGGCTGCAAATATCATTCCATGTACCGACACTCTGCCACATATTAAGATCTATAAATAACATTAGATTATATTTATGTACAAAAAAATAGTGTTTATTGTTTATATCTGCGATGTACAGAATAATATAAAGCCATAAAATCGATATGAAATATTGATGGAACGAATATGGAAAATTTTGAGCTGCCATATATAAATATCAATCCACACACCGGAACGTCGTAGTGGTTCAGGCTCTATTAAAAACATTAAAATAATAATTATGTATAAAGAAATGGCGTTCACTGACAACCCCGTGATGTGTAAAATAATGTAAGACCATAAGAGCGATATGATATATTAACACAATGATTGTGGAAAACTTTCTATGGTCATATGTAAACCTCATTCAACGTTCCGGAATTCCGTAATATATCAGGCCCGTGAAAAAATATTAGTTGATATTCATTTAGAAAAAATGGCGTTATTTGCGAATCCCGCGATGCGTAGTGTAATGTTAGTTCATAAAATCAAAATGATATATTGATAGAATGATTGTGGTAAGTTTTGGTTGGTCGTATGTGAACTTAATCTAAACCTCATTCCACATACCGGATTTCCGTGATATATAAGGCTCGTTAAATAATATTACATGACATTTAGGAACCAAGAAATTTGTTTATTGTCAATCCAATAATGCGTAGTATGATATAAAACAATAAAATCGAAATAGTATACTGACAAAATGAATGTCGAGTATATTGAGCTGACATATGGAAACAACACATAACGATATTGTACTCCATCATATTTCAGGCGTGATAGTGTATTAATATAACTTAAATGTTGTTTATTATATTAAATAACAAGAAAACGGAAGCAAGGCAACAAATAATCAACACAAGGTAAAC